GGAGTATCAATGCAGCATGTTACATTGTAGAGACCGCGCGTTGGTTGATGGGAATCGGCGCCATTTTCGGCTATGTTCCTTGTCATGACTTTATTTTATTGCATACTGTTTTATTGTTAGTCAATGCTATGTTGTGTATTGTATTTTTGGAATCATGGTGATACAGTCAACAATTCAAAACTTGTTTGTGCTTTTATCTCGTGATGGAAAAAATGTACTTTACGTTCAAAATTTGAAAATTTGAATTTTAAAGTTTTCGCGGTTAAGGAAGCTTTAACTACTGGGTTGGAGCTTCCTAGTCATATTACTTGATATCAGCTGATAGCAAACAAAGGTTACCAGGGAAACCGTAAACGTCTAAACAACTATCGTGGCCATTGGGGCGATTATTGAAATGATATCGACTGTATGTCGCCGCTTACGACAGGACATAGCCCTATCTTAACTGTGTAATATATCGCAATTCGATATTGTTTTGATTTTTAAAAGGAGCAATTCATTCATACAGTTCCGATTAGTTTTGGCGAACGGGCCCTTAACCTACGACACTCGGCTCATGGGAATTTTTTAACTTGTCCTGGACGGACTCGTCTGTAGCGCCTCGTTCTTCGTTGTGTGTGTGATTTCGTGAAGAAGTTTCTATGGCAATTTGCTTTTATTTGTGAGCTGTTTTTTCACGGGATTTTTGAATGTTCTGTACGAATAAATTCGGTGAGTACCTCATTTATCCCTCCTTCCAGTAAAATTATTTCAACTTTTCCTTCTCCCTCATTCTGGACCCACTCATGGGCTGATTATTTATGAAATTGATCTTCGAATACCTTTTGATGAGCTAGGGAAATGGAACCATCTGCATCTCATGGACAATAAATAGTTGCCGTAATTAAGGTCATCCCGTGATTAAGGTGCCGTGATTTAAGTCATAAATTCTTCATCTAATTCTTGATTTATCTCCAAAATGTCTGCTAAAGCTTTCATGCGCTTCTCCTTGTATGCATGAATGAGCAAATTGGGTATCGAACAAGCGGACACTTTTTGAAAATTTAGATGATTCTGGACAATATCGTACAGAAGTCCACGAGCTGCAGATAGAACCATTACCTCTAGCTCATCAAAAGTTATTCGAAGATCATTCAACAACCTCTTTGACAAGTTGCAAAAACTTTTCGTTAACAATAGTGTCACACGGTACTAGGAATATTTACTATTTAACGAACCTTATATTTCCCTGACTCAGTCCTAAATTATAGAAGTATGCGTTACTTTTCCAGCAATCCAAAAAAACAATTATACAAAAAACCAATACCTACACTTTCAGATATAAAAATGCAAATTTTTTGCAGCCTCGCTAAACGACTTATCAACCAGAGATTTTTTAGGAAGCGGACCTCCAAAGAGCTTTCAAAATTAAAAGTATACAACAAGTGATAATGCCATGTATTCGCCATATCAAAGCCCAATACACATTTATACACCGGCTACGTAAATCTGCTAAGTTACAAAACATGAATCGACAGTTGTCGGATTGTACATCAATGACAAAATGTGTCTAGGCCCTCATTCTTGACTACAACTACTGCCCCCAGAGCCGCTCTCCGACGCCAATGCGTTGGAGCTTCCTGCTTGTTTAAGTTCGGAACGAATCATTCTTTTAAAAAAAGTTCCAATTGGACTACATTTTGCAATTTGGACCTATAAATTCCGGCCCGGTTTAAAAACAACGTATGTGGCATTAGTTTCCCTACGCACATAAGTGTTTTTTTAGATGAGACAGAATTTATAGTTCCAAATTGCAAGATGCAGTTCAATTAATCCTCTCCAAACACCAAAAATAAAATATAAAACACCGATATCTCTATGATTCGTTGAAAAAGCTCAAACTTTCAAAGGAGGAAAGGGGGAAAAGGGAGAGAAAAAAAGCGATTCTATTGAGCCTTTACTAAAATGCTGTCAGAACAGGACTATATGCCCACAGGTTACTCAACACCGATGATATTAATACCTAGTTCATATAATAAAATAAAATTACGCTAAAAAAGGTAGTACTCGTCAAGTTTCAAATAACACACAAATTATGTTCTAAAATTGCTTAAAATTTAATTTGGGGGTGGGGTGGGGGCTTGTTTTCAAAAAAACTTAAGAGGAGGCCCCCAACTCAACATTAGCAAATGCCCCTCCCCCCCTCCGACTCACTCTGAACCCACCACAGAATGGGTTAACTGCATACACTGAACAACGGTATAACTGAGGGACCATTCGGAAAAAAGGGGACATATTATGCATAGTTGTCGTCCCTGAGACAGCGCAGCTTTTGATGCGTTTCTTTTTCAATCGGAACCGTTTAATTTTATATTTTGCCCTCAATTATGTACACAAATATGACGTAATTTTCCGAAATGTTTAGGATTAAGTGAATTTTAATCGGAGTTAAAGAACAGTCAAGTTAAACGATTTTAGCAACACTAGATATATATCTAGATATCTGTGCCCTGTCTCCAAATTGTCCCTCAAGTGTGGACATTTTTCATCCAGGCAGAAAAAAGAATTGTTGTTCTTACCGTATTCATGGTATATTCCAGGTTCCTTCTACTTTCATGGTCGAAGTTACAATGCTAATTTTGAGGTGATAATTATTTTGATCCCAGTAATAGTGATAAGCTGTTAATCGGAGTTGAAATAATTACTACGACAAAAGTAAATTGAAAAGAAACAGTAATCCGAGTAGACTTTGCATCAGTGAAATCGCACAAAAATTAGGCGGAGAACATCAGAAATTGTCGCTCCTCTGCCGTAAGGGCGTACCTATTTCAATTTCTACGCTAGACCTGTGATCCGAATAACTCTTTGCTCATGTGGAAATGAAGATAGGCCTGTATCACGCTATCAAAATACTCCATCAAAATGTCAAGGTCGAGTGCTGTGATTGGTCCAAGTCATCGAATAAGCCAATCACAACACCTGACCCTGATATTTTGATGGCTAGCTTTGCTAGTATGACACGGGCTCATAGGCCTTTACGTCAGGGTAGCGACGAAATGTATCAAAGTGAATCGGAACCACAAATCGTGACAGTTTTTCTTCAACTAGCCCAAAAACTACAGTAACCACTCGCTGCGTATCAATCAGTCGTATGTTTAAACTGCACACATTTTATGGTGATCGCCTTTGGTCCGCTTAGATTTTTAAAAAGTTACCCTTTCGTGTGCAAAAGCAATTTATCATGAACTGCTTTGTTAATCTGAACCTGAGTTTGAGAACCACTGCCATCTTCCCTGCCACCGTATCCTTCTCCTCTTCCTTAAGCGTGTACTTTATGCTATTGCATTGCGTGTCGTGCGCAACAAACAATATCTTTTATCGACTTGTTAGAAAAATAATATATCGGTTAGCAGTGCGGTTATGCATAAAATCTGCACGACTTTCTTGTCTTTCTTACCTTCATGCAGGTACTTCAATAATTAATGCTTTTAATTTTTCATGAAGCAATTTTAATATCGTATTAAAAAAATTGTTAATATTGATAGTATGTCACCTTGCCACCATAGCTACTACAATGGCACATACCTCAATTACGGAGGTTGCACATTTTTCATATTATTTTTATTTCTTTATAGGAGAATATCATTCAAAACTTCAGCGAAAAATTTTCAGAGAATGTACTGTAAATTGATGTTACTTTGTTTCTTCTCAAAGATTGAAGTCGTCGTTTTCCAGACGAAGGAACGTAACTTCAATTCAAAATTACAAAGTTTCAAAAATTGGCTCGAACAGTTCAATTTTGTACCGAAGTATGGCTGCATGTGCTGTTTCTATCTGGAATCATGCTAATTCTTGCTCATGCATAATCAACGGAAAGTTCAATAAAATTTTCAGTTAAAAAGTCCCGAGAATCTCCGAATAAAAATTACAGCAACGTAGTTATACAATTACGTTTTTTTGTCTAGAGAACGAGAACGACGAAATGCGGGGAAAATAACGTTGCCAAATAGAAATAAAATAGAAAGAAGAGAAACGGCTCCTCTCTCGGAGAATTTCATCCCAATTAACTTGGGAAAATTACTATAGAGGTCGCTGCAATATGTTATTAGGTAAACATGCATTTATACGCAAACGATAACGCTCGTTGCAGTAAATGGACGTGTTGGTGAGGCAAGGGCACTTTTTTGTGTTATTTATGTTATCAGGATATCTTTAGCTTGCGCGCCGCACAGCACTTGTCGCGACGTGCAGGTAATTATATCGGTCATTTGATCTGTCTAGGAAATTAATGAGTTTATTCGCTTCATGTCATTGTTGTCACTTCTTGGCTGGCGTTTGACGTCTTTGGATCTTCCTGTGATCGAGTACTTACGCACCACAGCTAATATAATCAAAGAGCTAGTCATTACGTTAGCTGTCTGAGGAACAGTTCTGTCACCTCTGGTATAGATTTAACCTCTGGTTAGCGAAATTTTTATTTCCTTCCTTCGTTTTTTTGGAAAATGCTGCTCACACATTTGTTTTCAAAAACTTAAAACAAGTTTGGGTTCACTGCGAACTGAAAAAAAATAATAAAAACATTTGACCAGAGATTAATTTACTTTTAGAGCACCTATTGAAATTGTGAGTGGAATTGATAGAACTGGCTCTGAGTTTCACTAAGGGGCAGCTCGGAATTTTTTCATCAAATTTTCTTACATCAACACTTCAACAGATCATTTTACAAAAGTTCTGGCACGCTGCGCGCTGAAAGAATTAATTCAGCTACATTCATTATTTTCTTTGAGTTAGGATAAACAAGTGTATCTTCAGGCCCAGATTTTCCGTATAAACGCTCTAAGCAAGCACCCAGGGGTACACAACCCAATGATTTTGCCACTTTCCCCTCAATAAAAACTTTTGAATTTTTTTTCTCGACCAGCATTTTCCCCTGTTCCTCATTGGTACGGTGTCATCTCATACCTGTCGCTAACACGTCTAAAGCGTACGATTTGGATGACAATAACATTGAATAAAAGTAATAGATGTGAAAAAATACAAAATGATTTACTTTCTTCCATTTCATATAAAAAAAAACTGAACACGATATCCGAATACATCAATGAAGAATAATACCTATGAAAGATCTAGCCTAATTTTGATTCTGGCGTGGGTCATTTCCAACAATATTCACAACTTAATTCGATTTTGATTTCGGTCGGAATAAATTCCTCCTCCGGTCCTGAAACCTCTGACTGCGCTCCGTCGAGCTGTCCCTGCTATGCCTTTCGAACGGGTACTCAATAGCCTCGCCCGGCGAGGGAGCCCGCCTCGAATAGGGCAAAATATCCAAGCTCTGAACGTGAGCCCTCACAGCGACACCTGGTGGAAATCCGTAGAACTTATCCTCTCCGCAACAACCACCCCCTCTCTCGTCCGGGTATCCCTTGGAGTGATCATACCCGTGGTCCCTGTCCCTGTGGTGTGGCCGATCCTCGTCGTTGAACCGCGGTCCGTTGGCGGGTTTATTGTACGAGTAGCCTCCGTAAGGGTTGTTCGGATCGAATTTGCTGGAGCCTCTACTCAAGATCGGAGTCGCCGTCGATGATTTCGGACCGAATAGGTCTTCGTCCCAGTTGCCGGGGGTCGAGAATCTAGTAGGGTCGTCTTCGGGGAACGCCGCGTGGATCGGCGGGTCGAAGGGTTTGACGTCATTGATATGATCGTTGATCGAGGAGTCCGGGCCCAGAAACGAAGGCGGGGTCGGCGTTGTGAAAGCGGGTTGGTAGAGCGGCTTGACGAAGGGAGGCGGGGGCTTGTACTTCCCGTCGTCGTGCGGGAAGGGACTCGATTTATCGATGCTGAACGTCGGTTTGACGTCGAACAACGTCGGTTTCGGGCTGGGGGACGTCGGCCCCGGGCTCGAGACGTCGAAGAAACTCGGGGAGTCGGATTTCGGGGTCGGGGATGGGGTCGGCGTTTTGACGTCCGCTTTCCCGAAGAGATCGTCGCCGAAGTCGGGCGCCTTCGCGGGGGAGTCGCTGGGTTTGAATATGGGCGGCGGGCTCGCCTTCGGGTCGGGGAAGTTGAGCGGGTAGTAGTTGGGCGGTACGAAGGGGTAGATAGTAGGGAACACGGGGTTCGTACCCTTGTTGACGATCTTGTAACCGATGCCCGGGCCGGCGATATAGTCGACGGTCCTCTGGACCCCTTTGTCGTCGATGTAGGTGTAGGAACCGCGGACTCGGCCGCTGGCGTCGCTGATCTCGGTGCGCTTTTGGTCGGGCCCCGTGGAGACGAACTTGTAGGAGCCGTCCTTGCCCCTCTGGATGGAGGTGTGGCCGCGGAGAGGGGTCCCGGGCTTGTTGGGGCCGGTGTAGAAGAGGCCGCCGAAGGGGTCCGAGTCGGGGAAGGGGGTGCGGACGTGGAAGCCGACCCCGGCGCCGGCCTCGTACTGGACGTCGTGACGTTTGCCGACGTCGTCGATGTAGGAGTACTGCCCGGCGGTGTCGCCGCGGGGTCCGGACGTCTCCGATTTGACGAGCGTCGGCGTGCGGATGTTGTAGTCGTAGGAGGCGTCCTCGTTGGGGTCGTGGTAGGTGTCGTAGCTCGGCTGGTAGGCGGGCGAGTCCGGCGGGATCGGCGGAGCGTAGGGGATTTTGGCCTGCGACAGGTCCATCTTCCGGGCGATGTCCGGGCCCTGCGCCCGGAACCCTCGCTGCCCGGCCGTGTATTGGGTCTCCGTTATCCGGCCCGTGCCTGGCTCTCGGTATCCGTACCTGAAAAGTACAAAATCCACGGTTAGAGTTAGTTAGTTAGTATAATTTTAAGACATTCAGCGTCTCAGGCTATTAACGTCTTTACAGATAATTTTGAGAGAGTTTTAGAATTTTGGTGGTAATATTGGGTTCGTCGCATGTAAGAGGGTTTGTATTTCTGTTGATTGTAGGGGAGTAGATCTGTGATTGGAGATACCGGAGGGAAGAGCAGTCCATAAGTATGTGTTTGATGGTTAGAGGTGATGAATTGCAGAAGTGGCAGATGGGTTGGTTTTCTTTTGAGATGATATAGATAAAGTACAAAAACATAGCCCAAATATACGAATAAAGAAGGAGATTTAATTAAAATATGGGTAAACAAGGCTAAACATTATTGAAACACTAAAAGGCAGGACGTTTCGAGCTGCTACCAGCTCATTTTCAGCTGCAAGTGGTTACGTGATAACGGCTGGGGTCAGGTCGCCACTCATTTTTTTACTTGTTTTTATGTGTTTTTGCAGCTGAGAATGAGCTGGTAGCAGCTCGGAACGTCCTGCCTTTTAGTGTTTCAATAATGTTTAGCCTTGCATACCCATATTTTAATTAAATCTCCTTCTTTACCCACGGTTAGATTTACATCTTTGTAACACCACTCCACACTAATAGAAAGAGCGGAAAAAAGTCGCTTGGATCTAAAGCCCAGATTTTTAAAAATATGATGGACCAGAAAAAATACTCTTGATTCAATCGGAGTTTTTGCTTGAATCAAAAGGCAATCCGCCTAAATCACGATGCCCGGCTCTTCGATTCAAGGAAAAATCGGATTGAATCAAGAGTATTTTTGCTTTTCAATGTTATTGACAGTCTGGACTCTAGATCCAAGCGATTTTTGTTCCAGTGTTACTAGTTACACCGAAGTTCGGTTAGAATGGGAAAAGAAACGCAAAGGGACCCAAGCCTTTGGTCGATTCTGGGGTTTTCGGATTCACCGTTGTTATTTGTTTTAAATTCGACGCAAGCTATATCAAAATGTACACAAAATTTGAGTTTATTTGCGTTTTATTTCTAATACCAGCCGGAAATTTCACAGAAACACAAACAATTTTTTCTGTGTGGTAAGGTGCCTTGTCACAGTTATTTTAGGACGCCGATCCCCTTAGAGCTTTGTTACGAATACATATTCTCATTGGGTACACCTCATGGGAATAAAATGCCACTCCATGAGATTTCTAATTAGGCACGTGAAGTCAAGGAATCTTCTGTGAGATTATAAATAAAAATTTAGAGCTGACCTAACCTCGCTAATCAGCTCATGGGTGCGTGAGACGGCCGAGAACGTCTTTTGAATAAAAGTCGCCTTTTCTCGGCTTCGCCGTGCACAAAAAAGGAAATGAAGTGACCACGGGCTCAGTGTCATCTTCAGAATCAGGATGCGACGGATTGCGTTTTTTTATAATTATATACTCATCAATCACCAAGATGCAACAAAAACGTCAATGTGACATGTAACTGAATCGACAGCTAAGCCAGAGAACAAGTTCTGCCTTCTGCGTGCGGAATATCAACAAACGGCTCGGCCTTCTCGCGCTGTGAAAGGCATTGGAAAATACCCCTCCCGCCCGCGAAACCCAGATTTCCTGGAGTAATTGCATTTTTCTGCAAAGATGCGATTGCTGCCACTCCGGCGATGCGTATTTATCAATACATTGCAAATTAATTTTATTGTGCCTTTGTGAAGGGTAATTGCTCCAAAGGGAGCTTCATATTTATCACGTAGGCACTTAATGCTTTGAACAAGTTTATTTATCCGTGACGTTTAGACGTTTATTATTTTTCAGGAATGTGGACAAATAGTTCAAATTAAAGAGGAATGGAAGAGTAATGTCAGGCTTCAGGTCGCCACCTGAGGGGACTCGAATTTTGTTGGTAACGAAATATTCCAAGAGATAATCCGAATTTCCCGTTTTGTGAATCATGTGTAGTACGCAAGATTTCGAAGAGAAAACATGTCAAGTTTTTCTTTAGTTCAGACTTCGCCTGGTGGCCAATTACTGAAACTCAGATAAGAGTATTCATGAAATCGTTCATTAGTAACACCATTTTGAAATATGATTGTAGGAAGAGATTAGCCAAGGTGTTATAAATTTTCACTGATTTATTTATTTAATAAAAAATGTGCTAAAGCTTTTCGGCTTGCGGTCATCATTCTAACCTAACCTAAGCTCTGATGATGGCCATGCACAGGATGCAAAGCTTTAGCGCATTTTTTTATTAAATAAATAAATCAGTGAAAACACATAACACCTTGGCTAATCTCTTCTTACAACCGTTTCAGATGAGAGGTTTCGAGGACAAGGCGCATAAGTGTGCTCTTTGCTATTCCAAGAGATACGTGTTTAAAGTTTCGAAATTACATGCAGCCTTATGATGCACAGTGGAGCGAGTCAATAAAAGAAGTCGGACAAAATTTGGAAACTTTGAAAGCTTAAAAGTCCGTTTACACAAAAATTTAAGGTTTTGAAAGTGGCTCCATTGCATTGGTTTCCTCGTGAAATTGTTGTACAATTTGTACACGGAGCTGACAGCACCGTGTTTGGCGCAATGCGTGAAGTATTCCGACAGTCTTGTAGGCGCTGCGAGTTTCACGCCAACCGCTGCCGAACGCACTGTGATTGACGCAATGCGTGAAGTATTCAAGAAGTCTTGTAGGCGCTATCCGTTTTTCGCTGTCTAATGCGTGAAGTATTCGTGCAGTCTTGTAGGCGCTAATATGTGTTACATGCCGATCGCCGCGGCGAGGGCTTCTCCTTTTCATCTCAAGTCCTCTTTTTCATGTCTCTCTCAGTCGCGCCGTTCTAGGCTAAATTGCGTGTTTGATTTCTCTCTTAGCTCGACTATTTAAAGGCGATGCCTCTTATATCACTGAAAGACGACAGAAGTAGAAATTACTATACTCTCAGGAAATTAGAGATTTGTCGCCTTTTCTTGTTTATAATTTTTTTCTAAATCCGATTTTTTTTATACCTACATTTAAAAAAATTGCAAAATTTGCCACCCCCTAAAGATTTGGCCACCCCCTTAATCCGGCCCTGCATAATCATCAAAACGTTCAGTTTTACTCAAAAATTTTGTGTCCGATCTCACTGATTGACTCGTTCCATTGGGTGTCGGAAAGGAAGTTCAAACTCACTTTTAGATGCTTTAAAATTTGATTTCATTTGTGAACTTCTCACAGAATATAGGTACTTCAGGACTAATTTTGGTTGAATTTATTAAAATCTCAATTTGTCCAAAAATTGCACTCATGCGCATTTTCCTCTGAGCCCCTCAAATCTGAGTACCTGCTCAATTTGTTTCACCAAGTTAACTGGGATAATTACTGGGCTACATCCAGGCGATCCCATTTATATATGTTAAAAATCGTCAAAAATTTCACAAAAAAATACAAATTTTTGGAACGTAGTATTTAGTTCATTTATCGTTAGCCTTGTGATTATGTCAATAATTGACCTCTGGACAAGGTACGAATTAAATCATTACGCAGCATGTTTTCTGTTCAAAATTTCAGGAGAAAAACGAATCTTACGACGAGAAGTCCAGAAATCAAAAATACTGATCTGAAATACTGAATCCGAAAATACTGAATCTGATACTGACGAGGTAAGAGTGTTTACAATGAACATTGGTTAAATTACAAAAAAATTAAAGACGACATTTTTATAATGCAACTCCCATTTTATATTTGTCAAAAATACGTTTGCATCTCATCCAGAAATTGATTTCTAAACTTCCTGTTGTGTGAATCGTTTTCTACGTAAAATTTTGTAGAGAAAAACAGTGGCATTCCGGTTTAGGCTTTGTCCACACTGAAGGAAAAGGAAAAAAAAAAAAAAATCGGTCATATGGACGGAATGTTTGCTGTTCCATATCATCTCAACTATTCGGTTTGTCAAACTGAACTTACGGTTCGTGTAACCAAACTTTCTGCATATATGATTGAAATTTGTTCGGCAATTCACCGTACCGCACAAGTTCGGTTACACGAGCCAAAATTTCGGTCACACGAACCGAAAGTTCAGTTTCACGAACCAAAATTTCAGCCACACGAACGGAATGTTCAGTTTGACGAACTAAAATTTCGTTCACACAAGCCGAAAGTCCAAATTGACGAATTATAATTTCGGTCACACGAACCGAAAGTTCAGTTTGACGAACCAAAATATCGGTCATACGAACCGAAAGGTCAGTTTAACGAACCAAAATTTCGTTCACCCAAACCGAAAGTTGAGTTTGACGAACCAACATTTCGTTCACACGAGCCGAAAGTTCAGCTTGACGAATTATAATTTCGTTCACCCGAACCGAAAGTTGAGTTTGACCATTGTTGATTAGCAAATGACCCTCAGTTGACCATAATTGAACCAAAATTTCGTTTACACGAACTGAGAGTCCAGTTTGACGAATTATAACTTCGGTCACACGAGCCGAAAGTTCAGTTTGACCAACTAAAATGTCGGTCTTACGTACCAAAAGTTCAGTTTGACGAACCAAATTAGTTGGTATGATAAGAAACACCGAACTTAAGTTCATATGACCGAACTTTTTTTTTTCAATGCAGTCGCCCATTCCACCTTAATCCCATTAAATTAACGTTTTACCTGCCAGCAACAGTATTATCGGCCGATGCAACGGCACCGTGGTAGTGTTGTCCCCGGTCGTTATTGGTGTATTGGAACCTGTACGAGCCATCTTGACCCCGGTCAGTGTGATCAGTGGGCACTGGGTCCGGTGGAGCTCCTGCCGGGGATGTCTGGCCGCGCACTGGAAGAACAGCGTCCAAACAGAGGACTATGAAGAAGGCCTCAAGAAGCTCCTGCAATCAGAAGAGTATGTGACTTTCAATACTCCGACGTCACCTGGAATCTAACTCTAAGGAGAATAGAATATATCAGCAATCGCACAACTGATTTTTCAAAGGCAGGTGATTCGATTAAATATCTCGACAGTTTATTTTCCTCTTCTTTTTTTCTGTTTAATTTTCTTTGCGCTGCGTTTAAGTCTCTCTACTTGTAATACTCCCACGTCACCTGGGATCTAACTCCTAGAAGAATGGAATATATCAGCAATCGCACAATTGATTTTTCAAAGGCAGGTGATTCGATTAAATATCTCGACAGTTTATTTTCCTCTTCTTTTTTTCTGTTTAGTTTTCTTTGCGCTGCGTTTAAGTCTCTACGCACTAGGAATTTTCAGCGATCTTATTTCCTGCAGCCAAACAAGAAGATAAATCTTAGGTTTTCTGCTGTCATTAAAATATCCAAGACGAATTACTGTAAAAATATTAGATTTGGACCACCCTCTTTGCGCTGCGTTTAAGTCTCTACGTAATTGGAATTTTCAGCAATCTTATTTCCTGCAGCCAAAGAAGAAGGTAAATCTTAGGTTCTCTGCTATCATCAAAATATCCAAGACGAATTTCTGTAAAAATATTATATTTAGACCACCTTCAAAATATGCATTTTGCCCAAAATTGACTCAAAGTGAAGATATTTCCAAACGATTCAAAACTGGAGTCATTTCTGACCCAGTCCCCAATTACGGATAGAGTGGTTCACATCTGCTTTTAAATTTCCTTGAACTTATTCGATTTTTGTATAGTACTCGCTTTTCCTTTTTCGCCCGATGTAAAATTTCGATTGAAATTTTACTTCGGGCAAAAAAGGAAAAGTGAGTACTATGCTGATACAACCCAATAAAGGAGGGAAAAGATACATATTTCATTTTTCATGCTGTGTTGTCCAATATCTACCACAACTATAGAAAAGCTCATGCACTCCATGTTTACCCATATTATTTTCTTAGAGGTACAGTTTACCAGGATATGAAAATTTTGACAATCTTTAAATTTTCAACCACTACACGAGATACCTGTTCGTGTATTAGCCGACTGCCATGACAATGATCGAATTTCTGAAAACTAAAATACTGAAATAAGGTTGAAACGACGTGAGTGGATGGATCAAGCAAAAGTGTAGGTAAGCTAATTTAAGGTTAAAACTCATAAACAAAATGTCGATTTACATCTTTTTAAAGCCCAATTTTGAAAATGAAACAAAATACAAAAATAGTGCATTCCCTTCGAAAAATACACTAAAATCGTTTTAAAGCCAAATAAAAGGAGAGTTTGCAACACCGAATTTTCTTTGTAAACATCACTCCACTCCTCGGTTGGCATACTAGGACAATTGGATCACGTTTAGCGGAAAGGAACCAAGCCACATCAGCTATATTGGCACATAAGTGGACAATTTATTTTTTTACAGGAGAAAGTTTGTGCGTATTACTTTGAAAATTTTCAGGAATTCGCTTCGATCTATGCAAAAAATTCCCTGAAATTTGTACAAACATCCGCACAACGGTTCCATGTAAAAAATTAAACTGTCCAGTCCAATTTGGCAGTAGCCGACGTGGGTTGGTTCCTTTCTGCTTTACGCGGTCCAATTAAAGCATGACATCACACTTCAACAGGGTGCCATTGTTACCGCGTGCAATGATCAGATTCTTATTCTTCAGGGAGCGTTTTGGGGACCTGCAACAATTAATCTGACAACGCAGCCTCTTTCTCCGAATCTGAAAAAACAGACACCCTCTTGAGCCCGTTGAGCCTTCATGCGTTTTTGAAACCCTCGTTCACACGCGCAGCTGCGTGGGCCAAGCCCTGGATTTTGGCTTCAGTCCGTCGTGATCCCTCTCTGCAGCTACGCGCGATGGCGTCGGCCTCCGTGCTTAAGTCTGTAAAATCCTATTCCGGAATCACACAGTTTATTTCATAAAAATCGTGACCTTAATTCCCCCAAAATCAATGTCTTCTGGAGTCAAATCGGATGCCTAACCCATCTCAGTAAGTCTCACTATGAAATATCCATATCTTTGCGCTAAATCTCTTTACAAACAAATTTATTCGTATTTATAAAATCCTTAGCTTCGTCGGTAATGGCAATTACTTTCGGTGATTTCTCTTCTTAAAAAAAAATCTGCAAGCATTTCCGAAAATACTTCCATAGTCGGAGGCACGAGTTTTGAAATGAGGACGGTATCATTCCATGGGAGAAAGGAATTCCGAAAAAAATCGTGTTATTTATTTTTTTTTGTCCAAAATTGAGCCGTTTTTAAAGTGGAGAAAATATATCGTGCTAAGTACCTGAAGATTTCACGACGAAAACTCACTAAATCAAGAGTACAACGATTTTATACAACGTGTTTCAATAACGAACTATTATTTTTTATTCATTTTAGAAATGATATAAGTGCTGATATTTTTCCCACTGAAATAGGTGCTTTGATGTGTGAGCCAAAAATAATATTTCCCAATTGCAAAATGTGTTCAGACGTTGAAAAATGTACTGCATTTTGAAATTAATGAGGAAGTTAGATTTCTCGCTCAGGCACAAAAACCCTCATCTGCATAAGAAATCTAATGGCACAAAAGTTTTTCTTAAATGAGCCAGAAATACTAGTTTTTCATTGAAGCGCTGCGTGCAGAGAGGACATCTCTTGGTTGCAGTTGCAGTGTCTTAGAATCTCCTTGAATGTTTCAATTATAATAATTAAAGCAAATGTATGGCCAATTCGTTGAAACTTATACTGAATTTTCTGTACGATTTTACAATGCGAGGGCGGAAAATTTTTAGAAAATTCACCCACTAGTTTTCTGACTTTCCTCTAAAATGTAAATAGCGGAGGAGCTGCCATAACACCGCAACCAAGAAATGCCATTTCTGCACTCAGCGCCTCAATTGCAAAATGTAGTCCAAATGAATTATGACCTCTAAACGTTTCTGTGTTGTGTTGCACCAAAACTCTTTGTACATTTTGTCTACATTTTTCAATCAGGAACTACCATTTCTGGCTTGTAAAAGCGAGCATCTGCAAATAAAAACTGTGGTACGTATATGAGGTGCGATATCACTTAAAAATGCAGCGCTTATTTCGTTAACTTGATCGGGGAGCATTTTATTATTAATTTTTGTCATCTAGAGGTAAAAAGGTTGGGTTCAGTTTCATTGCTTCGCGCCTTAAGGAGAGTGCAGAATTCTGCCTCGAAATTTCTACCCAATTAACCACAGGTTCATTAACGTCTCGCGAATGCACATGCAAACTGATTTGAGGTAGGTCGTTGTTGCACTCTCGCTCAAAATTGTATTCCTCCTTGAGAACCGCAGACTTAATTTTATACCGTGCACGTGATAGTTCGAAAAGCCCTATAATTCGAAGAAGTATCGGTGAACTAACTGATTTCGAATTATTGAACTTTCAGTACCATCACTTCGAATTATAGAGGTAATTTAAAAATCTCTTTATTTCGAAATTTTTTGTCATCACTCTCTTTAGTTCGAATTTTTGCCATTCGAAATAAAGCCTCTTGCTTGAAGAGAAGCTTGCTTGCTTTTTTCAGGTAAGAATACCACTTTTATTGGTAATCAATTCCCGGTAACTTTGCCATTTTATCTCGGTAATTCTACCACAGTCGATAAAAAATATTGGCGTTTTTATCAAGGTCCAGTAAAATTACCGAGAAAGTTCAATAATTTTACCGAGATTTCTCGGTAAAATTGCCAATTCCATAAACGGTAATTTTACCAAGAAAAACTGGGATCAAATAGAACCCTGAATTCTCGGTAATTTTACCCTCTTTTTTATTAAATACACCGAGATTTTTTTTCAGTGCACCCTGCTCCCCTGCCCCCATGCCCCCTCCTCCCCCTCTGACGCCCCTGAAGCTTCCGCTCCGTGACAACCCAGAACTCATTCGGCGAGGATTTATTTTTAAGGACATTTAGCAACATGAACATTAGATTTGTGGGGGGCACACAAAGGATGACCGGTCCCCTGTGAACTTGTACCCACACTTATGTGGGTCAGTCAGGTGGCTCGAGATGCGCCGCGGATTAGCCAGAAAATACCTCTCGCGGATGTGTCCGATGTTGCCTCTTCCCATTGAAATTCACGCATTAGACGTTGTATTTCGAGGATATTCGCCGCAGCGTAGGCAACACGGCTCGCGTCTGCGCACAACGTCTGCGTCCACCCGCTAATTACTCATTTTACACTCAAACACACAAGCTCATTTGAGCGTGTGATTACGGGACGATTTTCCCGGCGCGCGACCCTACGCGCGTAACACAATACGACGGCTCGCATAAATTCGCAGCCATTTCTCATGAGCTTCCTTGAGCATTAAATGCTCGTGCACTTAAGAGGAAGAGCCAAGGGGAAATGAAAAATGGTTCCAGCTTGTTAGGAATTATGAAACAGTGGCTTTTGACGGAATTGGACGTATTTCTATCAAAGAGAACTATGTGCAGGTGGGAAAGATAGGGTCTGCTCGTTAGTGCTCGGGCCATAAGAATGAATTGTAAAGGAGGGGTTGCGATTTGGGCCGAAATCGGCCCCTCCACGGAATTGAGAAATTTTTGGATATACGGCAGTTGACGGTGCATATTTGACAGAAATAATCGAGTTTTGCCGATACTCACGTTTTTCGGCTGCAAAACAGGGGCCTAAACATGGCTCTGAAGGCGAAAATAGCTAAAATCTCGCGTTCTTCGCGCAAAGGCGACGGATGATGAGCTTCGAATATGGTGTTAAGGACACATAGACACATAACATACTTGAATATGATTAACCGTCGCCTTTGGGCCCAGGTCGAAATCTGAGGTAGAACCGCGAAAAACATGGATTTTCAGCTATTTCTGGCTAAAAAGTTGGCAAAGTTCGATTTTGAAGTTGGGCCTAAAGGCGACGGTTGATCATATTCAAGTATGTTACGTGTGTAGGTGTCTTTGACACCATATTCGAAGCTCATCACTCGTTGCCTTTGGGCCCAGGTCGAAATCTGAGGTAGAACCGCAAAAAACGCGAGATTTTAGCTATTTTCGCCTTTGGAGCCATGTTGAGGCCCCTGTTTCGCAGCCAAAAAACGTGAGTATCGGCAAAACTCGATTATTTCTGTCAAATATGCACCGTCAACTGCCGTATATCCAAAAATTTCTCAATTCCGTGGAGGGGCCGATTTCGGCCCAAATCGCAACCCCTCCTTTCCCATTCATTTTTATGGCCCGAGCACTAACGAGCAGACCCTATCTTTTCCACCTGCACATAGTTCTCTTTGATAGAAATATGTCCAATTCCCTTAAAAGCCACTTTTTCATAAGTCCTAACAGGCTGGAACCATTTTTCATTTCCCCTTGGCTCTTCCTCCGGACATTTCCATCGTTCATCGCATTTTTCCCGTAAAGTGTTTGAAGTCTGCGAATAATGTCACATGGCCCAACACCTTCCAAAGTCAAAAATCGAATTACTGACCGAACTTCACAGTTCTCCGGCTTTGAAAGTTCCTTAACTTTACAACACACTTTACAGAATAAGCTTGCACATGTGTCGAAAGAACACTGGCTGCACTCATCATCGAAGGCCCAAAATAACAGCATGCTAAACATATTAAAAACCCGTTAAAATATTGATGAGGATTTAAATGCTATCGGATCAGATTGGCCGCAATCGTCCGCACATCTTGTACTCAGCACGGATACTGTGCGCCTGGATGTGGCGGGAAACGCGTCGACTTCAGCGCGGGAAAAATAAAAACTTGGGCTTTTATTAAAGCTTAGAGTATGCCTTATATGCGCATCTAATCGGATTTTCTCTATCTGTAATAATATTTAAATGAGAGCAAAACGCGCATGCAGGACATTTGGGATTACCCTCGTACTTTTGGACTCTCTAACATTTTTATAGTACCCTTTGGAGGGGGCTACGGACCCCAAACGGCAACCTTGTGATACAGTGTTGGATACACATTATAAAAAGGAGCTTCTTGGCATCAATCCTGGTTAATACCTCAATTTTTGACAAATTTATGGCCGAAAATTGACGGAAATGTTACAGACTGGTTGCCCCTGACTTTCGGACGCCATTTCGTCAAAAATTGGACCGGAAAATTTGGACCTACATGGATCCTCTTTTTTTATCATGTATCCAACGATGTGTCACAACATACTTTCCAAATCGATCCGAGCATCTGAGTTCTGAGGGTCCGGATAGTTGGGAGTTTAGTGAAATTTTGAGATTTTTGGATCAAGGTCCCTTCTTCCACGAACGGTCTCAAAAACAATTTATAACATAACCTCAGAGTAATTGTCAATCCCATTCTTAGGTTTTACCATGGTCTTTTTTTAGCGAGCTAATTATACCTCAGAAACTGAAAGATAATCCGTTCTATTACTTACTTCGAGCCTTGAGCAAACAGATCAAGAGTGAGAACCAGTGACCGGAAATATTAGAAATTCGACACGGGGTCACGAGTCAGGACAGGCCAATAAACCACTGGTTTAGCTCTCGACGAGCCAGAAAAACGAGCATTGTTGACGGACGTCTAAAAAAATCATTATCCTCCAAAATCACTAGCAAACCGTTACGAGTTCGCCTGACATTGTTTATACCTTTTTGTTGCCAATGTGGCTATCCGGAAACACACAGCTACATTTCTTTTTCGTCATTTCATTCGGGTGCAATTAATCAATACACACCATTATTAACTGATAGTGAGCGAAAATAATCTTAGCAAAGATTTGATTTTCAATCGAATCCAGAATGTTTTTGAACTAATCCTCTTGGCTCAGTGCTAGACAGTGAAGAGGATAGAAAGTATGGAGAAAACTTATCAAAATGTCTCCTTGGAATGTTTTGTAAATATGTTTGAATGTGAGGGGAAAATTCATAACAATTTTGAATAAAATAAAAATAAAAAAGTTGGTTAATTTTCTTTTTAAAAAGTAAAACTTGCGCGAAAATTTTGAATGTTACAATCAGAGTTAAGTACTTATCGACTTAATCCATCGTAATTTAGCAGCTTGATCAAAAACGTTATTCAACTTCTTTATCTGTGAAATATAAAAAGTGAAACCCCTCAATTCAGGGGCTTGGAGAACAAGGCGCATGAGTTCAGTTTTCACTACTTCGAGTAATACGTGTTCGAAGTTTCGAAATTACATGGATCTTTACGGCCGATAATGTGTGCAAACTGACTTTTTGATGCTTAAAAATTAGGATTTGGGAGACATTTCTTCACACGATATGAATCAAGACTGGGTTTACTTGAAATTAATGGGGAAAAAACACTAAGAAGTGGCCCGAACTGTATGTAACAAGGTGGAGAAATGGTGCTGGGTCCACACCATTCCGCGGGAAAAACAAACGTTGTTTTCCCCACGAAATGGTGTGGACCTAACACCATTTCTCCACCTTCTTACTTGAAATCAATCATTCCTCCAATTTTTTCGCAAACTGCACTTCTGCGTTTTTTCCTCCAAGCTCCCCAAATATAACGCAGGTAGAATCTCACCATGCTTCGAGATAGTGGCACGGGATACGGTATGGCACAAGGGATCTACACGCTTATCCTCGATGTCAATATTGGCACGGCGAAGATTTAGATGGGCGGTTTTTAGCATTATCCACTGGGGAACACACTCGAAAACATGACTAATTCGTTGGAAGCGAGCCTTAAGCTGCGCGGGAACCGAAAGAACTGACCGCGGGTTCGCCGCCAGTCTCCGCGAAAATCACCTAACTTTATGAATGGGAATGTGTGGAAATATCGCCGAGGAGGCGGGGGAGGGGGCGGGGGAGGCGGCGGGGGTCGAGATCATATCTCCCTCCGACGACGCACCAAACGGCTTCGGCAAATTCTCGATTTCCCGCTCAAAAACGCTCGGCTGTTTCCTCCCGCTGATTGATGTCTCGGCCAATCGGATCCGCGGATCCTTCATTGGTCTCCCGCGCTGCCAAATCGTAATGGAGATATTGCTGCTTCTATTCTTCATAGAATCCATCTACGAAATGGAGATGTTGCATGTGTGAGGAATTTTCGATTTGACTATTGATTCTTAGGTAAAAGTTCGCGAGAAATACGATGATGCCACTGGTTTTCTCTGAAATCAACTCCCAAGCTCAAAAAAAGCTCTCAAGTTGGGGCTAAAATGGAAGGGATATCCCACGCTATCCTGAGAGTCCACCTTTATATCAAAACGAACTCTCCATGCAAAGATAGGGAGCAAATACATCAGCAGGGTTGCCGTGTTTTCAGTTTTGGAGTCCCGAAATAAAGTGGCAGCCCTGTCTATGTATTTGCTCCCTATCTTTGCATGGAGAGTTTGTTTTGATGTAGAGGTGGACTCTCCGGGTAGGGTGGGATATCCCCTCCATTTTGGCCTTAACTTGAGAGCTTTTTTTGAGCTTGGGAGTTAATTTCAGAGAAAACCAGTGGCCGCATCGTGTTTCTCGCGAACTTTTACATAAGAATCAGCAGTCAAATCGCAAATTCCTCACACATGCAACATCTCCATTCTGAATGGCGCACGATGAATCGTGTCAATAGGAGAGGTCGGACACAATTTGGAAACTTTAAACGCTTATAAATCCGTTCGTACAAAACTTTGAGATTCTAAAAGTGATTCCATTGATTTTTTCGCGAAATTCCCTTCCAGGAACACCCCTTGAAATTTAAAGTGTGACGAAATGAGCATCAACATTTGCAGATTTTGTAAAATATTTCATGTCCGACCTCTCTAATTGGTTCGATCCATTGTGCGCCGCAGAAGCGACGATACGAGTGCAGAAGGAATTAAAAAACTTTGAGGTTCTAAAAGTGGTTCCATTGGTTTCCTCGTCAAATTCTCCTCTTGAGCCAACCCTTACAGTTTAAATCATGACGAAGTCAACATCAAAATTTGCAGTTTTAGTCAAAAATTTCATGTCCGACCTCTCGAATTTACTCGATTCACTAGGTGGCAATGTTCACCGGTGGCGGCAAGCAGCGGGCCGATTATTTAAATTGATAGACAAGGCTATAGACGAAGGAGACAAAAGGGATATGGAGGGATCCTATTGGTGGAAGTGGGTGGTTGCGATGAGCGAAGGAGGTAGGTAATAGACTACTTAACGGCAACCCGAGGCCCAATGGTGTGTCCAAAATTTTCACCCTTAGTCTATAGGAGCAACCTGTTTTAATCAATGGAATCGCTCCACGCTTCCTATGTCTTCTTTGTCCATCGCTTTGTCTATCAAATTCAATTATCGGTCTACTGATCCGAATAGATCGGTGGCACCCATTTTCTTCGGAGTAATGAGGGAACTAAGAGAGGGGTTGAGAAAATTTTGGCAAAGCAGCACAAGTTTACGCTATTTTCAGGTTCAAAATTTATTAAGTAATCGCAAGGGGTAAAACTTGCAAAATTGAACGTATTGAAGTAACCGTCAGACTTCTGATATTAAAGAAAACATAAAAAATTAAAGCCACTAGGACGTATCCAAGCATTATTATTTCCAAAATAACCGAGCCAGTGCTGCGGTTTACACGAGCTTCAGACGTGGGCCTGCAAATCCATCCTAAAAAAGAATCAGACAAGAAACTGAAAAAAGAAGAAAGGACGAGTATCAACACAACTGAAGACAGGAAAGACGTATTCGGGCCTCTTTTTTAACTTTTCTCCCAAATCTGAGCGACACCTCATGAGCATATAGCAGGGCATTCAGAGCTCACGCTTCGCGTCAACGCTCCTTCAATTTTTCAGATACAGCACGGACGTCCATCGAGTACGAATAGTTGTATCTCTGCGCCGTCGTAAACGCGCATATCCTTTCCCTCCCTCTATTTCCATATTGTGTTTGTTTGCGTTTGTCTAATTCGTAATGGTGCTTCAAGCACTACGTGAGTAACATAACCGAAGGTAAGAGGGATGTGTTCGGGCCTCTTTTTTAACTTTTCTCCCAAATCTGAGCGACACCTCATTGACAGCATATAGCAGAGCATTGAGCGTTTACGCTGCGCGTCATCGCGCCTTCAATTTTTCAGATGTACCGCGGACGTCCATCAAGTACGAATAGTTGTATCTCTGCGCCGTCGTTAACCCTCATCCTTTCCCTCATTTTAGTTCCATATTGTGTTTGTATGCGTTTGTCTAATTCGTAATGGTGCTCTAAACTAGTAGCATATAGCAGAGCTTTGCGAGCTCACAACTCACGCCATCGCGTCTTACATTTTTCATATGCAATGTGATATCCATCTTGCACGAATGGTTGTATCGCGTTTACACTTTAGACGTCTCTTATTTTTGAATTTCGAGGTAAATGAAGGTTAAGTTTGCCCGAGATATGCTATGGTTTGTCCAAATCAATAGTCATAGAAATATGTTTAAAGGTCTCTCAAGAGGGGTATGAAGGGTGCGCATGTCTAAAAATCGAACCTACCATCGCTTCTAAGGGAGTTACACATAGGGATGATAAAAAGTCTGTATGCCAACAGAAGGGTGAACATTTCACAGAAAAGTGTTTACGCTTCAAAAAGTTGTTCTTGGACCTCTGTTCACCACTATCATGCGTAAAAGCGTCTTTTTTTACTCCTATCCCTCTCTTCTTCGGTTCATTTAAGAAATTTTCCGCACATATTCTCGGTCGTAATTTTTTTTCTCTTCTTATTTTGCTATCTGTTAGAGGGGCGCGTCTTCGGCGCGCCAAGGGGGCGTATCTGCCAATGGCAGATTGGCCTTATGGCCAGTCCGAGCTTGATCGAGGGGACGGTAATTTGTGTATTCTGAAATATATTCAATCTCTAAAACTGAATTGAGAGGGTCTTAGTTTAAAAATATAACTAAAGGAGTGTTCGCTTTCATGAAAATGGATTTTTTGTTTAATACAAATTGTAAACCCTCGAAAAAAGTGTAATAAATCAGCTAATAAAATTGCATATCTACACTGTGACACACTTGAACGGAGATTCCAGGAAATAAGGGTTTTTTAATTTTTCTTTTGCTGGTATCACCGTTAACTTGAGTCGAATTACATACCTAGTTACGCGTGGTTACTCTAAGTTGAAACCAATTTCCTGTATTACATTTGAAAACTTGTTTCAACTTGGCAACTTTGGTGACAAGTGATGTTGTCCATCATGTATATTATTGTATATGTCCAACAAATTTAGTCCTCATTAAAAAGGTCCAGCAAAATTTGTCCGCGATTATATCCATCCACATCAAAAGATGATGAGAACCGCTCACATAAATAAGAGATACTTGAAAAACCAAGATCACGAGTTGCAACAGTTGTTTCGAATTTATGATGATTATAATAACTGCGGAGTAATCTATACCTTCCTACACCCATGTGCATACCATTTGAAACTTAATACCAACCCTCCAGCCAAACCTCCTGTCCTGATGAGCCTCAGAAATGATTCCGAAAATTAATTTAAGTCAGTAGGCATGTGCATCTATTTTTTAACTCATCTCTAACTTTCTGGACGTTTTGTGGCTGGACATAATATTAATGGGCATAATCACTTGGACAAAATTTATTTTGGACAATTTTTAACGCGGAACAATTTTATTTTGGACGAGATCACCGTGTGGACAAATTTTCATCGGACGAAATCCTGGCAACTACGAAGATAACCGTCTCCAGTTGGCATATCTGAGTGCCTGAGAGGGTCACACACAGTTCGGCGCTCCTCTGATGTAAGGGCGTATCTCGATTTCCGCATGAGCCACAGAAAGCATGGATTTATACGTAAAACAGGGCTCACGTGGAAATTGAGATACGCCCTTACATCAGAGGAGCGACGAGTTGTGCGAAGTACACATTAGCGCCGAGAAGATTTTGGTTTGGGTCATGGCAATATGGTTTGGCTCATCCCCATCACCAGGAGTTTGACATTTTTATCACCGATGACATCCGCCAGCTAGGGGTGGCTCCGGATCCGGACGCATCTTGCTGGCTGTTGCAGTCTCCCTGGTATTCAGGCTCAGCGGTTACACTTGTGCAGCAAAAAAAAAAAAAAAAAAAAAAAAAACCTCCCCTTCCACACATGTTGGAACGTTCATTTTATCTTAGCGATAGATAAAGTAGACATAGTTAACATGGAGCGATCCTATTTGTTGAAACGGGTGATTGTCATAGACCACTTGGGAAAATGATGGACTAACCATAGGGTCTTTCGTGGGTTACCGTTAATATGTTAATAACTTACCTCCTTCGTCCATTGCAACCGCCCGCTTCCATACATAGGATCGCTGTATTTCCCGTGTCTATAGCTTAGTCTATCAATTTTAATAATCGGCCGGCAGCTGCGGGCCGATTATTGAAACTGATAGACAAAGCTATAGACAAAGAAGACATAGGGATTATGGAGCGATCTTATTGGTTGACATGGTTGGTTCTTATAGACTAAGGAAGAAAATGATGGACTAACTATCGGGTCCCTCGTGGGTTGCTATTAGGTAGTCTATTACTTGTATCTTCTTTGTCCCCGTAGCAACTACCCGTTTCCACCAATAGGATCCCTACATATCTCTTTAGTCTTCTTTGTCTATAGCTTTGTCTATCAGTTTCAATAATCGGCCCGCAGATCTCATGCATCCCCGTCGAACTTTGCGTAATTCGGCGTAGCTCATCTCGATCTGACAGCCGTGTCGATGCGAGGAGTAAAACAATGCTAGGCCCGACGTCGGAAGGTCGTGGTCGGCCACCGTGAAGATGTTCTCTCTGATTAGTCCGTCTCCGTTCTG